CTTTCTATCTCTTTCTAAGCTTTCTCTTCCTAAGTTATTCTTGTTGCCCTACCTTCGGTATCTGCCTGCGAGACTATCCTCGGAATGAATTCCTTTCTTCTTCTCTTCCCTATCCAAATTTCCTGGGTGTTCTCTAACACAGGTAGTTATAAAAAGAGCCGTATGCAAAAACGACTTTTTTCGCCCCCCCCCCCTTAAAACTTATTCAAACTTCGTCTATCTGTTACTCATACTAGAGCGCTTCTTTCCCCAAATTTTCGGACCCCTAAAAAATTTTGTGGGGCGCTAAGAGGGGTGGAAGTCAAAACCTGTGAAGTGTGAACCTCGATATCTTTCAAACGAAAAAAGATATTGAGGCCCGGTTGGGACAAAAAATCGGCTAAAATTGTGTGCTTTAAGATTTTAAAGGTCAAAATCCCAAAATTACATTTTTCAGTTAACTTATGAGCTTTTTTTTTGTTTTTGAGGAAAAACAATTTCTTTTAAACAGACTAAACTGAAAGATCACACTTTTGTTATTTGAACCAAAACCAGTTTTTTAAATTGTTCGTCTTTTTCTCTACTTTTTCTCTACTTAACTGGACAAGATGATGCGTAAATGCACGTATATTTGTGAGAAAGAAGAAAATAGAATTTCTAAGGAGAAAGTAGATGTTGGCAATGTCGTGAAAATGCCATATATACGAGAACTCAGTGAAAAATTGAAAAAGTGCTGGAAGCCCTATAACTTCTTTCCAGTTTTCAGTAACCCAAATTCGATAGACGGTTTTCCTCGATATTGAAGAGTACCGTACCACCTGAAAAGACCTCCGGTGTTGTTTATAAGATGAAACGTCTGAATTGCAATGTTGCCTATACAGGCCATACTAAAACCGCTACCTGGGAGAACGAATACGGCCACACAAGTATGACAAAAAGGAGAAAACTGCTTAACACCATCACAGCCAGGAACAACAGCACGAATTTAATTTAAAAAATCCAGAAGTACTCGTCAGAGAACCCAATTTCAGGGCAAGGTTGTATCATGAAGCCATACAGATTAAATGGTGCTCAAATTCCATTAATTTCAGAACTGACACCCATGTACTGGGCACGGCGTACAGGGCTTCCTTCGGATTATTTTACGTGTAGTTATCTGTTTGCTCCTCTCAGTGACGTGCTCTCTTTGTTTACCGGTTATTTTTCGAGCAATCATACGAGCCCGAGTATCGTGGTGGCCACCATTGTAGTTTTAGTTTTTGTGCTTTCGCGTTTTTTAAAAAAAGTTTTAAATTTTTCTGCATACACATTCGTTGATTTCAATATTTTACATGGACAATCGATCAGCTATTACGGTTAGTTTTTAAGTTATACGTTGCGGAGGAACTAAGTTTTAATTTTTGTGGCTGCAAGCTGAATATATACATTTCTCATACACACACACACACACACACACACGAACACACACACACACACACATATATATATATATATAATCTCTAATTTCATGGTTATTGTACGTATTTATAATTTAGTGAATTTCATGAGCTTTATAACCGTTTGATTTATTTTTTATTCATATTAAAATTTACATTGCGACGTTTCGCTTACATACGCCACCGAAACGTCGCAATGTAAATTTTAAAATGAATAAAAAATAAATCAAACGGTTATAAAGCTCATGAAATTCACTAATATATATATATATATGCCTTTTAAAATTTTTTCGATTTTTGCGTGGTTTAACCTTTTAACGTTGTAAGATATTTAGACCAAATTTTTTGCATTTTGGAGAATCTCTTTAGAGGTACTATTCTGCCAAAAGAAATTGAAATTTAACGCAATAGATTTGGAGGGGTGGGGTCGAAAGTGGGGGGAGGTCAAAGCTTGCCCACTCGATAACTAGAGTTTAACTGAATATTTTGAGCTGACATTTTTATAGGTGGTAGTTTTCTCCTAAGACTGGTTTGGTATGGAATTGGAGAAAAATTGGCAGAGCCGTTTGAAAATGGCGAGCTATGAAAATTTTAGGCAGGGGGTGCGCGGCATGATGGGAGCAGGCCGGAGCGGGGCTGCACAGTGGGTCAAGGGGAGGAAGTTTTTGGACAAGGGTTTCGTTGCTCAGTGGGTCAGGGGAAGGAAGATTTTGGACAAATATTTCGTCACCCAGTGGGTCAGGGTAAATTCAGGACTCCTGCTCCCACTTCGGGAAAATTTTCCTTCCAACGGTGGATGCGCCGGTCATTTAAAAAAAAAAAAAAATTAACTGCCGCTCAACGCTTTGAAAACTGAAAAATCCTCACGATGGCTGAAATACATACATACATACATACGTACATACATACATACATACATACATACATACATACACTTCGTGGGGAGCTGATAAACCAACGTTGCTTAAAATTTACAGATCGTTTATACGATCAAAACTTGATTATGGTTCTATTCTTTATGGCTCCGCAAATCGCTCTTTACTTAAAAAGTTAGACAGTATTCATAACTCTTGCATCAGACTAGCTACTGGTGCCTATCGGACAAGTCGTGTCGTTAGTATTGAAGTTGAAGCACAAGAGCCCTCACTTCAACACAGAAGATATCAATTACTGGCAGGCTATGTCACTAAACTAGTGAGCCATCCAAGTAATCCTGCTATTGAAGATTGCTTTGAGGCGAGGGCTGAGATCCCATTCTATGATACCTTCTTTTCTAAGTTCAATTTTTCTGACGTTATTCCAGCTGCAAATCTCAATTTTCCTCCCTGGACCCCTCCTAATATTGAAATTCACCTCAACTCCTGCTCTTTATCAAAGTCCGATACATCCCATGCCGAATTACGAAGTAACTTTTTCTCGACATTGGAAAATTATCAAGACTATAAACAAATTTACACCGATGGATCCAAACTGGAAAACAGCCAAACAGGATGTGCTTTTATCACACAAAATGAGTCTAGATCCTTCAAGCTGTCTCCCATTGCCTCAATTTTTACTGCCGAAGCCTTTGCTATACACCAAGCATTAAATTTTCTTCAAGAGACAGAAGATAAAAAAGCCATTATATGCTCTGACTCACTGAGTGTTCTGTCTGCCCTCCAAACTGTCCCTGGTTCCAATCCACTCATTATCCAAATCCAAAATTCCCTACATCATCTTCTCTCCCTGAATTTCTCAATTGCATTCTGCTGGTGCCCGGGACATGTAGGCGTTGCTGGAAACACGGAAGCCGATACTCTGGCGAGAGAAGCCGCTTCATCTGCTAGCCCCTTCCTCCCCCTAACTGTCATAGCCGAGGACCTCAACAAGTACATCAAAAAAGAAATCGTCAAAAATTGGCAACAAGAGTGGACAGTGTATTGCCAACACAGAAATCCTCCAATGTCCGTATTCCCTCAACTTTCTGGTCTACCACGAGCAGATCAAGTAAAATTAACCCGGCTGTGCATTGGGCACACGTCTTTCACCCACCAATACATCATCAAGAAAGTCCAACCCCCGACCTGCATCGCTTGTAATGTCCCTCTCTCAGTTAAACATGTTTTAATAACTTGCCCCACATATCAACAATTAAGATCCAAAATTTTCCCTCCACTTTCTGACCTCCATACCATCCTTTCAAAGTATTTTCATGAAATCCCTCCCTTTTTTAAACGAATTAATCTCCAAATTTAATGTATTCTTTCCTTGTCCATCTCCAAATTTAATGCATTCTTTCCTTGTCCTAAATTTTAATTTTCTACTACCCTTTTTGTGACTCCTACTTCTTAAATATTTAAATTATGTTTTTTTGACGATCTCTCCTCATCTACGGTGTTAATGGCTTCAATGTTAAAGCACCAAATAAATGTATTTACCAACCAACCATACATACATACATATATATATATGACAGAAAATGAATGACATATACATTCGTGATCTACGACTCGAGATCGGTGCTCTTTACATGGTCCCAGGTCTAGGTCCCACCATGAGGGAGAACGCAATAGTGTATCTTTCCTTCGGAAAATACACTAAAAAGAGACGACTGAAAAGACGCGCGCGTCCCGGGAGGTTTGGCGGGGCGGAGCCCTTTCAAATATCGGCGCGGAGCGAAGCGGAGCACCGTTTTTTACTTTTAATTTTGAGAAATATAACTCTCCTGGAGTGAGAATACAATTCTAGAATAATTCTGTATGATGTTCTCTATTATTTTGAACAAGGACAATTTATTTCCAACTTGCGATAGCCAGAAAAAGGCGTGTCTTGTGATAGGGAACAACAAATTCAATTCCAGGCCAAATCTATGAGGGGGACAAAATCGCCGATTTTGAATAACCCCCTCTACATACTCGTAAGGTTATATGTCGTGTCAGAAATTGAAGCTTGTGCAACAAAGTTTCAAACTAAATTCTGAAGTTATTTTTGCCCAATGCAATGTACTTTCTGGCTAAATTTTTTTTTCAAATCATCGTATCTCAACTTTTTTAAAGATGTGTCAAACAGTGATCACTCAAAAAACCCCTGAGAAGACAACATTGATCAACTGAAAACTATTTCATTTTTATGGCACTTAATTACATTAAAAAGAATGATATCAGAGTGGTTTGCCTAGAAAGTCAATTGGAGCTTAAACAACCAAAATCCCTGAATCACGTCATGAATAGGAAAGACAACACAAATCCATACGCAAAGGAGATATTTGTTCACCTAAAAATTTAATTTGACCAGAAACCCTCTTAAGACTCAATGCGCAATGTAATCAAAGACAACAAAAAAGTTTTCTCCATCACTACATGGTATAACCTTATTTACATATGGTTTCATGCCTCCTCTGAACAATTAGATTTGATGGACAAATATGGTTTGATAAATTGCACATTCATTTACTTCCTGTAAATTTCCGACGTATCCATATTATTATATATCGATATATGTGCCGAAAGTAACTAAGCTAAACACAATCTCACGTACGGTCATAGTATGCTAAATTGGCACTGTTTTAACATCTATTAGAAAAAATTGGTATCATTTACCACATACCTGAGAGATCTGAGGGAAGTTGTCTTTGAAATAAAACAACAGTTGCAGCTTCGACTAAGCACGGTGCACTGTTGCATCGATACTTTTGGTCAATTTGACAGGATGTCTGCCCCAAAAGATGAAGCCCAAGGCCTTGAGGCCAGGTAGCAAGTTTACAAGGCAGGTAAAGACGGTTACAGTCCGTAGTTTCTTCACTGAACTCATTAATTTGAAGAAGCTCAGAGCTCCCTTCACTATTTCTCAGCACAAAATTATCCTCATAATAAGTGGCATCACTGGTGAAATCATTACGATCTTGTAAGTTGGTTGATTCACACCCTTTTAAACTTCCAGAAAATGTTTTGTTATAGCTACTAAATTCCGTCCCTTTGCAGGAGGTGTCAAATTTTACTTCACATTCTATTAAAAGCCTGTTATTACTAGTTTGGTAGTCACTACTGTCTTCCTCTTTGTTTGAAGACTTCATGTTTTTTTGGCACTTGAGTACTTCTGACAGATCGGTTGCGCTTGAAAAATCAACTGCTTTGTTTTGGGCATCAGTTGAGTTGTCTTCACATGTCTTTGATGCAGAAAAATCTACTTCAAAAGCGGACTTGCCATGCAGACTAGTTGAGTCTATACACCCCTTTCCTGTTAAGCTTACTTCATGTGATGTTAGGCTACAGTTATCATTAGAACTGTTGAATGCAGAGGCTGATCTCGAATCTTTTAGTTCTGAGGATGTGTGATCCGGACTTAAGTCCACAGAGCTATCCGCATTCACAGGGTGGCTTTCATCAGAGAGACCAATCATGCATGTATTCCTACCACATAGTGATGCACTTTCGCTGATGGTGACAATAATTTTCTCATCTTCTTCAGGAAATAGCAGTTCATTCCTTAAGGGGCTACTGACCATTGGAGTATAAGGAGTCTCTTCAGTATTGCGTTCACTGCTCAATGGTATTGTTTTGTTGTTTGTTTCTGGAGGCACCAAATATGTTTGGATACCTTGAAGTTCCGAACGGTTGTTATTTTCAACACTGGAAAAAGGCCCAACAGGAGGTGCTTGGTTCCGTTCATCAGATGTTGCATCGGTGACTGCACTTTGCGGTTTGTTTTGAAACTGACTGAACGGACTTTTAAACAGGTCAATTAATCGGTCTAAACTTGATGTTGGTTTGTTGATATCATCAATTGATGCTTGCATTTGAGAAAAAGAGAACATTGAAGATGGAGCAATCCAAGAGATTTTACGGGCTCTGGGTGGGGCGGCTAGGTCTACTGCAGGTTGTTTCATGATTTTTGATGCAACAATGTCCAAGCTATCGATTGGTTTATTAAGCTTAAAAGGAAAACTGATTCTTGACTCCGATGAGTTCTCTTTGTTTAATCTCCGCGTAGTGGGTGAGGGAGGAGCACACTCAAAACCAACAGTTGTGTTTTTTTTGGAGGGTACTGAGATGACAACGGTTGATTTTTCAGGTTCGACCACTGTGACCTTGAACCTTGAATTACTGAACATTGATGATGGTGAGAGAGAGGAAGATGTGTTTGAGTCGGTGGACGTGAACGAATCAGACATTTCTGACACTTTTGATACGTGAAAACGGCTTCTCGTTGGGGAAGGACTTGTGACCGGTGAGGGAACTGGACTTGGTAAAGGGCTTCGTAGTTTCCCACTTAGTTTTGTAGGCTCTATTGTTAGTCCTTTGCTTGGTTCTAGTTTTTGAACTATTACAGAATGCCTCATTAGTGTTTCACATGTGAGGGATATTTTGCGCGAGTCGATATTTGATAATTTTAAGCGAGAAAAATCATCAGGCTCACTTTTCTCCCAATCTGACACATTTTCCTCGAGAATGAGTTCTTCATTGCTGTGAAATCTTCTTTCGTTTTCCTTATTTCTTAAGCAATAGCCTCGAATTTCCTCAACGAGGTTTTTGTAATCTGATAAAACAGAGACCTAAAAAAGTGAAATAACAAAGGAGTCAATATTTGTGACAGTTATTCTACCGTTAATAAATTAAAGATATATATAAGGACATATATGTAACAATAGCGGTCGCTGACATCCGCCATTTTAAGGGCAAATGCTTTTTCCGAAATTTAGAGCCTCCAAGAATGCCTGTGCAAAGTTTCAGACTTTCAGCGCAATTTTTCGGCGAGATATGAACTGAAAACCATTTTATTTGTAAAAACACCGGATGAGAGAATCCATTGTTTTCCTCGGCCGGCGCGGCAGGACACTGTGGAGATTCGAACCCACTTGTGATAACTGCCTGCCCACCGGCCATGGGCTGTCGCTGACACTCAAATTATACATATCGAGACCGTCTCGCCAGAATTGTTGAATTTTTGACTGATTTTAGAATTTGTTCCTTGTTTTTGTCCTAAAAGTTACGAACGGTTTAGTTTCTTGATCAATTTTGCAAAATGACTCAGCATTGACTTACTTTTAGTTCATTTCAATCGTTTCACCAGCCTTACCCTTCCTGAAGACTTTGTTTCATGCATAAAGAAAGTGTTTTCAGTAAAAATAGCGGATGTCACATTTTTTTAAAACCGCTGTTACTCCTTCAATTTTTCACTTACATAGATCGTAAAACGTGTGTTTTTTACCGGAAGAGTTGCTCTTCATAAAAATCTTTATGAGAATCCTCTCGGTTCTACGGGCGGAAAAGTGCAAAGCTTCAAAAACTTCAAACGCGCTTTTCTCACAATGTGAAAACTCGACATCCGCTATTGTTACAGATAAGTCCTCATATGTCCTTGCTAAATGAGATGAGTTTTAAAAAAATTGTAAGCAAGGGTGGTCTTAAAAGTAAGTTTTGATGTTTTATTGCTACGCAACTTTTGTAGCAAGAGCAAATCTGTAAGAACTGGCCTCCCGACGGTATCTTTAAGGTCTTGACGTACTGAAGTATTTTAAAACTGGTTTGGTAGGTGCTGAGAAATTGGGTTTTGTCGCACTCCTGCACTCGGTGGGTCCACAAGAGAAGTGGCGCTAGGAGCTTTTTTTAGCTCCATCTGGATTTTGTTGAATGTTACATATTTTTGAAGTACTAGTCGTAGATAGACTCTAGGCCAATATTTTATCGTTGGGAACCCATGCAAAGGCACAGCAATGCCTCAAACCCGAAATGCAATGAAAGGAAAGTAATTATTTTTGACAAGTTTTCAGGATATCATGGTTCTGTACACAAACGAGTCTCATTTAATTTTACACGGTCATTTCATTTCTGGCCTTTAAAAAGGTCTCTGATAAATTTTAAACGGCCTCACCATCAATTTTTGCCAACTTTAGCCTTGGAATTGTTTTAATTTTAAGCATTTAAAACTTAATTTTACCTAAGGGTCGTGTACATTTTGGAAATGAAACCATGTTTTGGTGAAACTCCTCCGTATACTACCAAATTATCGGAAAGAAAGTCTGAAAAAGCTAAAAGTTGCATTAATTCCACACCTAGGGTTAAATAAAGAGGGGTATGGCTTTTAAATCATGTAGAACACCTCTTATCCATCTACTCAACTGATCAAAAAAGCTTACTTGGACATGGATCCAAACGATGTGGAAATGAGTCAGTTAAGTCATTTTTTTTTTATTGTGTCATTCGAAAGTAGTAAGTGACCGAAGCTTACGGTTTTTTTCCTAAATTTTTTTGATGACTGCAAACAGGAGAAAAGTTTATTTGAAAGTGCCAAAAATTAGGGTGGCCTAAAACGGCGTTTGAACTGCGCGCTCGTAGGTCTTGGACGTACACGTCACGATCAATATGGCGGCGGAAAGCGTAGTGGAAGAATACACGGCGGCGACGCGTTGGCGGTATGTTTTTGTTGGTCAATTGGAGGTTATGTCGGTTACTTTGTTTGAAATTCATATCCATTGTTCTTAATTCTCTAAGCTTTTCAATCAGAATGCGATACAGATGTATGTAGGATATGAAACATTCACACAGAGCTCACTTAACCTCAAACGCGAAATCGAGATGTCAACAATGACAGTGTGGTGGTAGTAAGCAGGTCGGCTTCGCCGCCGCCATCTTCCCGTCTTATGACGCGTAGATCCAAGAATTCACGGCGGTCGGTTCAAACATGTTTTCGAGGACCCCTAAAAAGGAAGCGTTATATCTCCGCGGAGACAATATTTCGTGAAATTTTGACGTGCGCATCGTTCTTCTCGTACCGAAAACTGTAAGATTCGACTATTTGCAGGCAAATCCCTCCCGAGCTTAACTGACTCTATTTCCAAGGAAAATGAGATCTTGAAACTTCAGAACAGAAATTTCATAAAAGATCGGAAAAATTGGAGAGATTACGAAAAATATGCTTTTTTCAACAGATTTTTAACTTTCAGTGGCATGGTAAGAGGAAAATGATTCTCAAATTTCACGTTCGTTGTTAAATACTTAGTTTTCCTTATAGTCTAGGGGCCACGAGGTCACTTTCGCATGCCACCCTGAAACTTTCAAGGTTTCTTCTAAGGTCCGTGGGACACCTTTTCCGGCAATTAAAATGTCTGTATCCCAGGACAATATATTCAAAATAGCCACCATGTCCAAAATCGAAGGAACCTAAAAAAATAGTTGCTGAAAAATTCCAATTTAGACTTGGGAGTGACGGGGCTTTGCAGGTTTGAACTTGATGGATCATGTAAGTAGAAGGTATGAAGTAGTTTTTTGGCACTCAGTTGAAGCAGTGGAGTCACTGGAGTTATAGAAATGCTCCTGTAAATTATTTAGAATTTTTCAAAATTTTCGAAATTTTTGGGGAAAAGTAAATTTTTCCTCAAAATTAAGGGGCTCACAGGTCAAACCCGGTATTAACTCAGGTAAAATTTTGTGTAGAACATTTTTGGTCCTTTGACAATTTTGCGTATCTGTGAACATTTTCGAGTGAATCGTGGATTTTTGGGAGCACCTCTGGACCCTTTGATTTTGCACATGGCGGCCATTTTGAATTTGATGTACCGAGATACAGACATTTTAATTGCTGGAAGATGGTGTCCCAGAGATCCTAGAAGATACCCTGAAAGTTTCAGGGTGGCACACGAAAGTGACTTCGTGGCCCCAGGACTATAACCTTTCTGGCCCCGCAAGGTTCCTAGGAGGTTTCAGGATTGTGAAATTCGGATTCCTTCGGGGCGGTTCCCTATGAAACCACTGCGATCCCTGACTTTGTCCAACCGAAAATGATCACGAAAAAAAGGTGGCCTGAGACACCCTGCATAAAACCAATTAGACCCCCTCTCTCTCACAGATCTGACTATGTAGATCTGTGTGTAATTTTTGGAAGGAAACAACAAGCTGCTATATTATAAACTCTGAACACATTCTCACCCAAATCTAGTATCTGGCAAGAACAAACTTTCCTGACTTTAATTTTTAACCCTCCTTTGAATAAATTATCAAAATAGTTAAAATGTACAAAAATATGTTGAATTTGGGTTGATCCATAAACTCTTCTACTTGGAGAGCTTCATTCATCAACCAAAATACAACTTTTTCAAGTATGTTTTCTATTGAAATCCAAGAATTTTTCCTATTCTGACATCCAAACATTAGGGATTCATGTTAAAGTGGCAACCACCGACTATTTATGAATGGTACGACCAGCTACAACATTTACAAGAAAAATTGAAAGGAGGATGTTATGATGGGCTCGAATAAACATAAGTGAGATAAGTTGGCCCTGAAAAACCCAATTTTACTAGTAAGCTTATTACCGCAATTAAGCATTTATATATTAGGAGTCGTTAGCATGAATTATCTGACAAGGCACCCAAACTTTTGTTTTTATGTTAGGAAGGGGTTCAAACAAGGGTGCTGCATTTCCCCCACCTTGTTTAAGATTTACGTTGAACATGCAGTGCGTGACTGACAGAGAAAGTGTTGAGAGGAGTGAATGAATGTCCCTCAGAATGAGGAAGAAACTCGTTTCAACTTATGCTTAGTTGATGATCAAGTGATTATAACCCAAGATCAAGAGGATGCTGAGTACAAGACTCAAAAATTAGAAGCTGTGCGTTGTTGACAATCCGACCGGGAGGTTAACGAAAGTATATGAAACCAAGTAGCTGATCTCAAGGGGGAATCAGCGGAGCACAGAATTGGAATATGAATGGCAGATTGAAATATGACTGAAAAATGTTTTTATACCCAAAAAACATAATTCTGGTACCATAATTCAAACTACCTTGTTGACCTATGAAAACATCACTTTACCATTGCAAAAGACAAGCTCAGAACACCGCTTTCTGCAGGCCTCTAGTAATGACCTTCCCAAGGGTAATTCAGATATATTATTATTTTATTACAAATAACTTTTTTATTATTTATCATTTTACTGTATGTGTATTATAAATTATATCGACCGTGTAAGTCGGCGATCACATAACTCGTTTGCGCTGTCTGAAAATCTCCGCCTCTATGTTATTTTTTAAATGAGAACAAATTGACATCATTTCTTGAAATTTATGCAGAATTTTCTTCGCACAGAGAAGAAAAATCACTGCAGTTTTAAAGAATTGTCGTTGAGTAGTTTTCTGTTTAAAAAATAAAGTATGACAGGAAGTCTGCAACGTCGCAAACCAAGGTATGTGAATGCCGACTAGGGTGGCCCAATTATACACGGCAAAATTTATTTTGCGAATTTTTTTGGTCTTATCCCCTAGAACTGATCCATTTGATCAAAAAACACTCTCTACCAAGTTTCAGCCAAATCGGATAATATTAACCCGTGCCGACAGAGCCTTCTTTTTTACATGGGATTTTACATTGAAAAACACCTTTTTTCAGAAAAATCCATTCCCTGGTAAATGTGTAATTCCTAGAAAAAATCTGAGGTCATATTCGGTTTTAGCAGGAAAAATCGAGTGGGATAAGT